TCTCTCTCTCTCTCTCTCTCTCTCTCTCTCTCTCTCTCTCTGCATAAAAAATTATATGCGTATTTGGTTTCCTACTATTATTGGAAAATTCCGAATTTTACGATTAAAATAAAAGTAATTAATATATATTTAGAGTTCACCTGCACCCATTATATCAACTCTTTCTTAAATAATATTGGATTGGTTATAAATCGAGCCGATTATACATCTGTCTGAAGTTTCGGTTATACAACAAAATCCACACGCCACCGCACCCGTCCACCCAAAACAGAAAAACAACAACTAAGTCGTGACATGAACACGTCAGTCGTCACCGATTATCTTTTGAATTATTTCCTCAGTTGGCATAATTTCTAGTGTATGGTTCCTTTATTGTATCAGGATTTTTTCCACACACTTTTCACTCCCAACCAACTTAATAACGGACATATTTCTTAACTGATCATGAACTGTACTGAGCTAAAAAAAAAAATTAAATTTAAAATATGAAAGAAACAGCTTTCTAATATTTTGCCTCCTCCCTCCCTTCAAAGGAAGAAAAAATGTTGGTGTGTATATATATATATATATATATATATATATATATATATATATATATATATATATATATATATATATATATATATATATCGGGGGATTTTAAATTTGTATTTATTCTAGTTGGACGGATACAAAAATATTGAGGAAACGAAGGAAACGAATCGCTCATAAATGAATAATATTTTCCTTTATAACTATGACATTGCCTTTTCTTGCGTGAGTTTTAAATCGATTGTTCTTTTACACGAACTATTACAGACATGATTGCGTTGTAGGACCGCCCCAGATAGGCCAGTGATGAAAATGATCATGTAGGACCGCCTCTGACACGCCCTGCATGAAGAGGATCGTGTAGGGCCGTCTCAGACAGGTCAATAATGAAAAGGTCCATACAGGACCTCCTCAGAACGGACTGAGATGAAAAGGGTCACGTAGGGCCGTCTCAGACAGACCAAGAATGAACAGGGTTATATAGGAACATCTCAGCCAGGATAGGGATGAGGAGGATCTTGTATAGACCGCCTCATACAGGCTAAGGGTAAAGAGGACAATTTAGGACTGCCTTGGACGGATCTGGGATAAAATGGATCATGTAGGACTGTCTCAGACAGGCCAAGGATGAAGAAGGCAATGCAGGACTGCCTCGGACGGGTTAAGAATGAATTTATTTCGAACCGCCTCAGACAGGTCAGGAATGAAACGGTCACGTCGGGACGACTCGGACAGGTCAAGAATGAAGAGGGTTATGTATAACCGTCTCAAAAGATGTAGAGGGTCTTATAGGAATGCATCAGACATGCCCGGGATACAAAGAGTTACGTTGTACCGCCTAAGACAGGCTGGGATGAACAGAATCATTTAATACAATTTCTTTAAATGTGACTCTAAACCGTGTTAGTACATTACCCCGGAATTTTCAAGAAATGCTTCTGTGACAACTGTAATGCTGTTTGAATCCTAGGAGTAGACCATTAACGTGTTGAACATTGGCGTTAAATTTACTAAAGTCTGCTATGAAAGGGTTGAATTGAAAACAGCTACTGTATAGAAATCCTCTGGTGAAATTAAATATAACAAAAGTACTATGCGGTTTTGTTTAAATATTTTCGAATTTATTTGATCAAAATATACGTTTAAAATTTACATACCTATATTCGAAATTAATAGTTTTCTTTTTGAACCAGTTTAAAAAGAGATTCATCTCAATTAGTTAGTTCTCTGTTAACAAAAACTAAACAGAAATTTTATTTAAAAAATAATTTATAAAATTTTTGGTTCAGATTATTATTAATTTCACCATTATTGATATTTTGTCTCACCATACATTTATTTTCTCATCTCGCCGATAACAGCGAGCGGTGCTTTAATCAACCGCTCCGAAACAAGTGCTATCATATACAAGGTAATAGAATATATCTACTCATAAATACAAATGTCTGCGTAGCACCGTATTGGGGGTTGGGGTGGTCACGTATCCCATGTTCCCCTAGTCAATGCTCCCCGATTGTCGTGGATAAAAAGGTCTCAACCGTCTATTATTTTGCCTAATATAGTTATAATAATTATACACACATTAAGGACACTTTCATGCCTGCTTTTAGGGTGTATTACCAGATCTATGTGGCCACCCTCCCTCCTTCCATCTTACTTTCCCCGGGCCCACCAGACTTAATCCTGCCCTGTGTCAGTGGTCATGAAAAGTTTGAAGGTTTAGATTTTAACTGCAGGTATAATGATGGTTCAAAGTGTAAGGACATTTTTTTTAAAAATAAAGCTGACATTGCTTACAAATAATTCCTCGAGTTGTTTGCAATGTTTCCGAAACTGATACTGCAAGGATATTGAAGAGTACATGCAAATTTCGTTATGCCTTGTCCACAAAAGTGCACGTACTTTAATTTATTGTCATTGATTCTGTCATATATATATATATATACTTATATTACACGTTTGCATTTTCTTTAAAGAATATTATTCTTCAAGAAATGAAACAAACTGAATAATCATCATTCAAAACACGAAATAATCTGTACCAAAGCCCATATGACCTGAATGATTTGAACTCGTTGTTTACCGGCAAGCGCGAGTCTAGTAAACATCGTAAATGATTGTAACATTGAGATTCTTGAAGCGCTGACTGGTTCATAGGTCATAGACCGTTCTTTATTTGGCTATTATGCAACATTTCTACAGATTACCAGACTGACACTATAAATAAATTAACGCACTGATTGTTTTGCTTCTTTCTTGAACACAGTAGCGTGCTAATTGCTGGGGCGGACGGGGCGTTCAACCCACGGGCGCCAGAGGTCTTAGGGCGCCAAAAACCCGTTTGGGCCTTCATCTTCGTTTAACATACATAAATGCCTTTCCAGACTCTCTCTAGCCCTGTGTTCCATGATTCCAATAATCATACACAAGCTAAGTAAGCTCAGCATCACCGGAGGCCAGGATACCAGGCTAACTTTATTCATCGTTGGTATATGGAAGTCACGCGAGAGTTTCGTTGAACATTGAAGGCGGCAATTGCGAACAGACAGTCCAAGAGAAATAACTCAAAAAATATTTTTACATTATTGAAAGAGGCATATTATAGTTATTCCTCTTGCAAAATCTTCGTCAACTTTAGCTTCTAAGCTTCGCTGTACCTGCCTCCAAGTTGGAAAAACATACATAAATACCTATATACATACATAAAATGTTCATGTATGAAAATAATTTTGTGATGAAAATATGCAATGTTTAAACAATATTTTTACGAATCATGACGGGAAATGCTTAATCTATCTGAAAGACAGGGACAGTATGTTCAGCAACGGTATAAGAGAGATAACTCAATATAGTAACACTCCTTGTAGTAAGACTCGTATCATCAAACAGCAACTCCAATTTCTGCTAACCGTCTATGTAATTACTTGTTTGCAAATAAATAAATAAATAAAAGAATAAATAAATAAATATGTATGTATATTTAATTTATATTGTGTGATTGGCCTATGTAACTGATGTATTTTTTTTAAAAAAATGTTTACTTGGGTCTGAGTTCTAGATACAGTCTAGATTCTGACAGACTGCTAAAAAAAATTTATTTACAGTTTGATGATAATTTCCATTAAGATGATAGTCTAATTTGAAATATTTAGTAATTGTATCACAGATGAAGTGGGTAAGGCATATAATGTTATTGACATCGTAATTATTCATTTTTATCTTAACATTTTAGTGAAAACGGTATTTTATTTGTGTTCGATTTTATCATTAGAGAGGATTTATTTATTTAAAGTATCCATTGAAGTTATAAAGCGCTTATTGATACTTTTGGATTAAATTACTATTTTTGGAATTATAGTAAAATTGATTTACGACATTCTGGATTATGCCATCATGATAAATCAGGTCTGTTAGCATGTCAACACATTCCCAGCCACTGGTACATCAGAACATTCAAGATTGGTATTTATTTGGAACATCACTGGAATTTATTTGGAATACTCTATACATTTAGACTTGTGAGAGAATTTGTAGGACTCTTTGGGAGTTAATTTACAATACAATAAGTTCTTTTTGATTTTCAGTTGTATTCTTGGGAAATAAATTATTTTTGGATTTTTCTAAGCTTGCTCGTTTTCGATTTCTTAATGTTACTTAGTTTATGTCCGTAGAGTTGTAACATAAAAATAAATACTGAAGAAAGAGACCAAACAATCTAAAGTGTGACTTCATAAGCAGACACAGATCAAATCCTTCTGATTCATTTTAGTGCTCCGTTGTAATTTTTTATGAACTATCTACCTGAATATTTCTCCATATTCAACTAATTTCGGATGCATTTCTTGCAAAGCATCGATTAGAATACATATCATAGGTTTATAGTTGTTATATGATTGAGATCGTCTTTTATTAGCAGCTCGCCATAGCCTGTTATCGATTAGAACATTACAATAGAAATTCTATGCACAAGTAGATGAATATGTTATATGTTTGTCTCCAAATTTATATAACTTATCGGTATTGCTTTGCACGGCTACGTGAGTGAAGACTTTCATCATCTTTAGTACGTTCCACATTTGAACGTCTAGTGCCCTTTCAGTACCGGCAAAGAATACTTTAACACAACTAAGTAGGTGCTCACTGATGTAAGATCCCAAGATTGTTATACCAGATGAAAAAAAAAAAACCAATAATAATTTATTGAAATAAGTTTCTTACAATGATCATTGTGTGTGTGTGTTTTGGATTTTTAACGTATCCTTTAACAAATTTTCAGTCATCTGGCTACGATGTCTGTAATGTGGCAGTTTATAGTGATGTCTAGCACTGGGGCGTCATGCTACAGTCATGCAGCATCATGTCCACCCAGTCACATTATCATGACACCAGGCCGACCAGTCCTAACACTAACTTCTTAATGCTAAGCGACTAACGAGACAGCTGTTATTACCAGTGTTATGTCTTTGGTATGACTCGGTCGGAGTTCAAACACGCGACCTACTGCATCCGAGGCAGACGCTCTAACCACTAGGCCACCAGAGCGGTATGTATGTATGTATGTATGTATGTATGTATGTATGTATGTATGTATGTATGTATACATATGAATTTTTATTTCTGGCCATATGTATGGTGTTTGTATCTGTACGCTATCAATAAATTATCGAAGTGACATGTTTCTTTCATTTCACATTATTCTTCTCATTGCATGCATTAATTGTACAAAAATAACAATAATGTGAAAAGGGACCAGGATTTGTGTACTCTCTCTGAAAAGAAAATCTCATGCAGGAAGAAATGTCGTTTTGTTAGTTGTTATCTTGTTATGAATTGCACTTTAAAAATCACTTTTGATCGATTGTGTATGGCGTAGATATTATTATGGGACATAACTGTACTATGATTGTTTTCGCAACTTCGTAAATTACTTTGGGTTATTTCCCCTTGACTGTTCCAAATAGCCATAAAATATATATTTTAAAGAAGAAAAAAAAAAACTTACAAATAATTGATGTAACTTACAATTAATTGATGTAAATTATTGTTATTCTTCCAAATCAGTTTTGTTGGCCGGGGTGGGGGTGGGGGTGGATTGCATTGAACTTGATGGTATATCAGATATTTGACAATACGTTTATGTACACGTAAAAATTTCAAAAGTGATACATTATCTCAAGAAAGTCTAGAGATGCAAAAGGTAAATTTTCATTATTTTCTTACAACGATCATTATGTCTGTTTCCTTTTGAAATTGTTTTAACATTAGGGTAGGTAGTTTAAAAAAAACCCAAGCACTATGTATGACTTTATGCATGCATGCATGTACGTACGATGTATGTATGTATGTATGTATGTATGTATGTATGTATGTATGTATGTATGTATGTATGTATGTATGTATGTATGTATGTATGTATGTATGTATGTATGCATGCATGCATGCATGCATGCATGTATGTATCCTCATTACGTACCCGAGCTATTTAATCCTGTGCATCCACAGGAAAATGTTACAACTATTGTACAATTAACGTACTTTTGTCACGTCTGTCTTCACTATTCTCCAACACTCTGAGCCGTACAACAGTACAACCTTTACCATGCTATTGTAAAGTCTTATCTTTATCATTTCTGGATTTCCATATAGGACTGAATCCGCTAAAAACATTCTGAGTTTTTATTTAACCTTGCTTTAATATCTTTTTTTAGCACCGTTTTCGTTGCTAATTAGGTCACCAGGTAGGCGCAGTCATTTACAAACTCAATCGCCTCTCCATCAATGGTAATTGGACGAGTAGCTGTGGCATCTATGCACATCGCTTGGCTTTTCTTTGTATTGACATGCAAGCCGGTCTGTTTAGCATACTTGCTGAGTCTGTCAGATTTACTTGAAGATGAGAGTGCCTTGATGAAACGACAACCGTATCATCAGAAAAGTTCATATTTTCAAGGTCTGAGTAGAGTGTCCACTGGATCCCTCTGACATGGTCAGATGTTGTTTGAAGCATTATCCAGTCGATGGTGATGAGGAACAGAATGTGAGAGAGGGTGCAACCTTGTCTTGCACCAGACTTCACGTTTAACGACTCGGTAAGATTATTATTAAGGATAACGCTGTATTGGATGTGCTCGTAAAACTTCCCAGTTAATTTGACTATCTTCAGAGATAGACTCTGAGAATCTTTCACAGACTCTTGCGATGAACACTGTTAAATGCCACCTTGAAGTCAATGAAGTTGATGTAAAGGGGAACATTTTACTCTAAACACTGTTCTATGATGTTGCGTAGAGCAAGCATTTGATTTTTGCATCCTCTTCATTGCAAAATCCTGCTCGTTTCTTTCTGAATTTGTCATATTTGGTTGTCAATCCTTCTGCCAAAGACTTTACTGAGGATGGATAGGAGTGTTATACCTCGTCAGTTGTCAAAATTGCTGAGGTCACCTTTCTTGATGACTGTTCTGGTGGCCTAGTTGTTAGAGCGCCCGCCTCGGATGCGAAAGGTCGTGGGTTCGATACCAGGCCGAGTCATACCAGAGACTTACAAAAATGGTACTAATAGTTGCCTCGCTTGGTGCTCAGCATTAAGAGGTTAGTGCTGGGATTGGTCGGCCTTGTGTCAGGATAATGTGACTGGGTGGGACATGATGATCTATGTCTGCGGCATGATGCCCCAATGCTAGACATCATTATAAACTGCCATCTCTTTTCCTTTTCCTTTCGATAGCTAAAATAATTTTCTTTGCTGCTTCAGAGTATGTATTTTGGATGTTAGTCCATGAATTTCCAACTGTGTTAGGGTCTTTTCCCATCATCACTAGCTAATGCATTAAAATGATGTATAAGATCGATGGTAAAATCTCTATCTTTGGTGTCCAAAACCTGCTGATGTGAAACACTTTCGCTGTTGCTGTGCGGTATGTGTTGCCCGTAGTCTCAGCTTCATCTTTGTCATCACAAAGTAATAATTACTGCTGACATCCGCCCAGCGGTGGACCTTCACATTTTGGGGGAGATCAGCACCACTTTTTATTGATGACAATGTGGTCAGTCTGGTTAACATTTTTCCCATCAAGGGTGTGTGTGTGTGGATTCCACATCATCTGCTTATTGTCTGTTCCTGCCTTGGCATTCATATCTCCCATTATTTACAGATTGTCACGTTGTGGGACTTTGGGAAATTGCAAGTTGTTGCTGTTCAAACCACTTAGAAATATGCAGCCTATTAACAGACTATTGGATGGACTAATAAATATGCAGGCTATGAACAGACTAATGGACTAATAATTATGCAGGTTATTAATAGATTATTGGATGGACTAAACAATATTTAGGTTTTATGGACTAATAAACATGCAGGCTATTAACAGACTATCGGATGGAATAATAAATATGCCTGATTTTTCCTATTGTGGAAGCAATATGGGATTAATGATGTTATTCAAATTAATTGTAAGAAATTAATAAATAATGATAAAAACTCCGTTGCATATATAAAAGATTATCTATTAACGGTTGCACATTTTCCAGGTTTAAAATCTGTTAAAAAGTTATAATGGATACATAATTTACTTTTAATATCGACAATGTACTCCAAAAGATCTTGAAAATATAGATACATGAATTTAAAAAATACTATTTATTCCAGCAGCCACCATACTTTAAAAAGAAAAGGAATATAGAGTTGAAAGACGATTTATCACCTGTAAAGACCTCTGAAATAAAACTGTCAAGGATAGAAAAAAACAATGTTTGATGCTCCTAAAAAAAACCCAACATATTGTTTAAAAAAAAACAAAAAACAACTGGGTGTGTCACATGCTGCCATGAATAGGACTAAGTTTTAATTAATAATCCTTTCAAAAATAACATTCCCACTGTGAATCGGGGTGCCTCTAAACAAAGCGGATGTAATGTTCTCAACAACTACAACAATATGGCTGCTAAGCTTTGCAACCTTGGGGTAGTTAAGCAATATGCAACTTTTTGGTTTGAACCAAGATCGTTAAATTTCGAAAACAAAAGTTGAAAATAATTGTTTTCTCGCCAACTGAATTTATTATTTGTATATCCGTCAGTTAAACAAGCAGTCCACATTTTATTCCATCGCACTGGTCACAGATGCTCGTACTTCGTAGTCATACAATATAAGATGTATAATGTTATTTGTTTTTGTCGCACCAAAAAGAAATTGTCATGTGATACGTATTACATTGTAAGGTTAAGGACTCAATATACCAACTTTTTCAAAAACTATTCACATCCGCACGGGCGAATGCGTTAGAGACTAATCCAACTTATTCCAGTTGATGTAAACTTTGCTAAAGATAACACAGAAATAGGTTTTCTAGCTGTGATGTCCACAACTGGAAAGTTTATGGGCAACACGACACATAGTCAAATAAATCAGCAACCAAATCTGTGTGTGTATTAATCATTGGTTGCATATAGTCCGATTTTTTTTAACAAGCAGAATAACGGTGAATATTTAAGATATATTTTGTTAAATAACAGTTGTGTGGGAAACCATTCAGTTACAAATATCAAAAGACGCTGAAAATTAAGTCATTTTTTGCAAGTCTTTGCAAGTAATTTTCAATTATCGAGATTATCAAAATGATTGGTAATATAATTTCTTAATTTTGTATTACTGCAATAACAAGTTTAAGTTTGAACCCAGGGTTTGGTTAAATTTGTAAGAGGCATTGTCAAAAAGAGCTCTTTCTCACAGTCTTGAATTTGCTGATGTACTGATGGCCTGGATTTTATTGATGTGTCCCACTCCACTTGCTAATCTGGCCTCAATTTGACCAGTTATACCGACAACTGATTGAAAAACAAATTGTAGATTTGGTACCCCTGCAGATATATGCATAGCTTGAAGTAAATTAGGTATGCAATGGCTATGTCAATAGACTCTGCCATTGTTTTAGCCAGAAAAAATGGTATTGTAGTTCACGTATGCACTCCCAACTGCAGATATGCTCAGTTTTGAAAGATGTAATTATGGAAGATGATAATGAGAGTAGTCAGTTTTCGACAAATCCTGGTTGTATATTTTTTAATATTTTTATGCATAGAGGAATGTGTAATTTTTTGACCTACCATGGTTTGTGCCCAAAACTTGAATTTTAAAGGTTGCATTATAATTTTGCTAACACTTAAAAATCACTATTGAAGTTGATAATCTATACATAGTTTATTCATACTTGATAAATGGTTAGCATCCTCAAAATCATTTGCAGGTTGACATTTCTCCAAGGAATTTGAAGTGTGTATATTCAGGTATTTCCAAAAGTTTTCTTTTTGTTTTTGTGTGACAGTGCCTATATACCAAATTACAATTGCACTATGGCCAAAAAAGACACAGACTGTCACACCATAATCTTGATATTCTAATGAATAAGCAATTCCTTTTACATCAGTACCAAGAATGCAAACATCTGAGCTGGAAGATGGCATAAATGAGAAAAATTGATTCAACATTTGTGGGTTATTATCTGAAGTAATAATTGTGGCATAATATATGGTATAAATTTGGAATGTTCAACTTAGGTTAAGGTGTTGAAATCATTTATTTTGTCTCAGTATTTTTATTATAGGCATCAGTGATATATTTACACTTTCAAAAGCATATTCATTTTCAGGGAAAAAAATTTGGAAATATTAGTTAAAAATCATGTCCCAAAATTTTGTGTTGATTTTTTAAAGGTTTTATTTTGAGCAGTTCCAATAAAAATATCAAAATTTGAAAAAAAATACATTTTATGGTGCATTTTTAAGTTTATTTTCACCACAGACATTTTATTTTAATAGTTTAAAATATTCCAAATAAGAATTCCACCATATAAACTGTTTCTATTTAATGTATTTTTCCAACACTTGATTTTAGCCATTTTTTTATGGTACAGCAGAAGTCCATCTCATGACTTTAATTTATTTTGCCTTTGCCATCTCAGAAATCCAGGACTAAGCTTTTCTGTTATTGGAAATGGCTAAAAATGAACAGCAGTCCAACTTAAAGTTAACACAATTTTCACAGTCACCAACTTTGATGTAAATATAGCATTAGGTTAATTCAATATTTTGATTATATGTTATTTAATTTAAATTAAAGTACATTTTCATAACTCATTTTGTCAAATATTTCTTAATCACTTGCTGTTTTTGTGATATAGATAATTATGTCTGGACCTTCCAGCAAGCATGTAAGGCCACAACAAATATGCATGAATCAAATATAGAAATCAGAATGACATATTGACTGTAATCAGTATACTTATCTTAAAATCTTAATTATCAAATTAATTATCTGTATTTTTTATATGATCTTAATGCTTTTGACAATGGTTTCATTGTTAACTTTTAGGGCTTGCCATGCTTTTTTTATCCCATTGCTTTTGTATTATACCTCCTCACACACATAGATGATATTGACCTATGGGTTATAACCCAAATTCTGTTACTTTTTTGTGTGTCCTGTAACTGTTACCTTCATGTTTAAAGTTGGGGAAAAAAATTGTTCTAAAGTATCACTGCAACTGCATATATCTAAGATACTGTACTATATCATATATAATTTTCAGATGTGTCTGTCCAGAAGAAATATATATTCAAGATGTGCGCAGTGGGTTCAGACTGGTCTTTGTCGGCCCTTTTCCATTCAGACTCGGACAGAATTGGGCGTCCCAAGTCTGCTGACATCGCCGCCAGTGGACCTTTTAACCCCAGATGAAGAAATGATGAGAGAATCAGGTTATATTTCTTTTTGACATCATATTTATATCAAATTTGTATCAAAAGACATCTTAATTGTGAAAATATTGCCTCATTATCTTGGTGAATTCTTGTAGTTACTTTGTTAATAGCCCTGACAAAAGTGTGAAGAACAAAACCATTGATGACTAGACCAAAAAATATGCTTTCGAAAGGGATCAAAACAATTATTCAGTGAAACTATTACTATTGCCATTGCTTATGTTACACCATTTTCTTTGAACAGTTGTTTCCACTTTTGACCATTTGGTAATTTGTATTCCATGATTTGAATTGATTTTTCCAATGGCTTTTCTCAAACATGTGTAAACTTTTTTATTATTTAGCTGTTTGTTTGGATAGTTTTTTTTTCTTACTGTTGTCTTCTTGGCCTTAAATCTGTTTAAAATACCTTACTTTTTTAAGTTTCTTTAACGCTATGTTAGATTTGAAACATCTACAGCAGCAACATATTCCATTAATTAATTTTCTTCTTCTGCAGTGAATATTATCTTCACTGCAGGTGGAAGATCTCCAGTATGAGGTTTATCGTGGTACTCATCTGCTACAATTAAATAGCCTTTGCCATCTGCTACAATTAAATAGCCTTTGCCACCTGCTACAATTAAATAGCCTTTGCCACCTGCTACAATTAAATAGCCTTTGCCACCTGCTACAATTAAATAGCCTTTGCCACCTGCTTGACTGAAGTTTTGTTGTGTCTATTGTTTGCATCTTGTTTTCTTCTGGTCTTTTTATTGGCTGTCAAATAGCAA